TACAGGGTGGGTGTGGAGCTCTCCCTGTGGAGTGAGTGCCTTGTTCCCCTAGAGGTGGATGGGAGGAAGGTCAATGGATACTGGGACACGGGCGCTGAGGTGACGCTGGCCCGGCCCGAGGTGATAGCTCCAGATCGGGTGATGCCCAACAGCTACCTGACCCTGACTGGGGTGGGCAGGACCCCATTCAAGGTGCCCGTGGCGAGGGTACCTCTGAAATGGGGGAGCCAAGAATGGACCCAAGGACGTGGGGGTGCACCACCATTTGCCCACTGAGGTGTTAATGGTGGGGGGACCTAGAGAACTGGTCAAGCAACCTCCAGAATGCCCTAGTCATGACCCATAGACAGAGTCGGCAAGGGGTACAACGCCCTGACCGCGGGAAGGATATCACACTGGAGGCACAGAACCCTACCCTGGTGGGGAGGAAGCAACCAGGAACAAGGCTCAGAAGGGCTGCGGCTTCCAACCCAACCAGCGAGAGGGAGCAGGTCCCCATCCCTTCCCAGCCCCTGAGTTCCAGGCCAAGTTACAGAAAGACCCCTCCTTGTGGAAGCTAAGGGACCTGGCTGACCTCAGTGCGGTACAGACAATGGGGAGAGGTTGCCAGGAGAGGTTCCTGTGGGAGAAGGGGTTCCTGTACCGAGAATGGGCTCCCCCAGGGGAAGTGGAGTCATGGGGGATCAGGAGGCAGCTGGTGGTACCCCAGAAGTATCGCCGCCAGCTACTGAACCTGGCCAATGACATCCCTCTCGCAGGGCACCAGGGGATCCGGCGCACCAGCAAAGGCTGCTACAGAACTTTTACTGGCCTGAGGTCTTTACTGCTGTCCAACAGTACTGCCGATCCTGTGACCCCTGTCAGAGGGTGGAAAAGGCCCGGGACAAGGGGAAAGCAGCTTTGAGACGATTGCCCATCATAAAGGAGACTTTCCAGAAGGTGGCTATGAACACAGTGGGACCTGTCAGTAAAACAACCCGGTCGGGGAAGAAATACATTCTGGTGGTGATAGATTTCGCTACCCGCTACCCCAAAGCCGTGCCCTTATCATCCATTAACGCAAACACCGTGGCAGATGCACTGCTAACCATTTTCAGCCCAGTGGGGTTCCCCAAGGAAGTCTTGACAGACCAAGGGTCCAACTTCATGTCGGCCCTGCTCCAGTGCTTGTGGGAGAAATGTGGGGTCCGGCACAACTGGGCCTCAGCGTATCACCCCCAATCCAACGGACTGGTGGAGAGGTTCAAGAGAACCCTAAAGATAATGCTAAAAACATTTATGAACCAGCACCCGCAGGATTGGAACAACTACTTACCTCACCTGCTGTTCACGTACAGGGAAGTACCCAGGAGTCTACCGGGTTTTCGCCTTTCAAACTGTTATATAGCAGAAGGGTAAGGGGGCCCCTGGACCTGATAAAAGACAAATGGAAGGGGAAGGCCATTCCCAATGAAAAGTCAGTGGTGAAGCATGTCCTAACCTTCCGGAAAAAACTTGCTAAGCTCATGGGCCTGGCCAGGAAAAATCTGGCCAGAGCCCAGAGGAAGGAAAAGGTCTGGTATGACTACATGGCGCAGGCCCATGCCTACGCCACCGGGAATCAGGTGATGGTTCTCATCCCCGTGAGGAAAAATAAACTCCAGGCCGCCTGGGAAGGTCCCTTCAAGATTGTCAAGCAACTAAATGAGGTAAACTATGTGGTGGAGCTGTCGAACTGGGCACACCACCACCGGGTGTACCATGTGAATATGATGAAGCCATATTATAACAGGGAAACTGTGGTGTTGGCCATGCGTGGACATTGGGAGGAGCAGGGAGATGACCCTTTAGCAAATCTGTTCCCTGGAACAAGAGCTGGCTCCCCCCTGGAAACAATTCCCCTCTCTGATCGGCTAACCCCTGCCCAGCAAGCTGAGATCAGAGGGGTGCTGCATTTGTACCAACAGCTGTTTTCCAACCAGCCTGGACGCACTAATCTGACTGTCCACCAGGTGGAAACCGGATCACATCCTCCTATAAGATGCTCCCCCTTCCGAGTCACAGGAAAAACTGCGCAGGACCTAAAAAAAGAGGTCAGGGACATGCTGGCTTTGGGGATGATCCAGCCGTCTTCCAGCCCTTGGGCCTCGCCGGTAGTGCTGGTCCCCAAAAAGGACAGGTTGAT